AAATGCTCTGGAGCTTGTTGGCCAGGTCAGTCACATGACCTCCCCTCTATTCAGAAGTCCACCTGAAGGTAGACTCCCAAATAGTTGACACAGAGCAACAGTGGCAACGACAAAAGGACATGCTGCGTTGCTGTGAAAAATGCAGAAATAGTCATGATCACATGAGCACTGAACAGCGATGGTTAGTGGCACCTCTGGGAAATGTTTATTGCATGGAGGTGGGGGTGGGGAGGGGACATTAAAAGAAGGAATCCTTGTCTTCCACAGTAGGAAGTCCCAGGAATCGAAAAATCTACAAATAGCAGTACAAGCCTATTATTTAGAAATATACACGTAAAAAAGTAGAACAAACAGGCAAAAGACTTTCAAGGGTTTGTCGCCATTCCTTGTCAGGCACAGACTGTTATTTTTCACTCTAAGCCTCACGGCATTTTTTGGCTTTTTAAAATATGTCAAATATTATTTTGGAAGGGAAAGAAATTAAATTTCAAATTTCAAGAGTGGGAGGAAATGCCTCAAATATTTGATAGCAATCGTCTCTTTATCTGTTGAATGCACAACACCACATGTCATCCTCTCACGAAAAAAGCGAGAAACACAATGAGATGCCTTATTGGTGTCCTTGCCCCTCGACTCCGTGTGCTCAGACCTGGAACAAATCCTGTGTCTGTTTCCATTTCCACAAGCAGCAAATAAGCACCATTTAAGAGCAAAGCAAACTACAGAACTCAATAACCCCCAAAGGAAGGATAATTTGCAGACTTTTATACTTCCAGTCACCATGTCTAATCCTGTGCTAACCCCTTGCGAGCACAACAGCGTTTCTAAGAGACAGGAATCCAGAGAATTCTAAAACAACACTCTGTCCTTTTAAAAAATGTAAATCAGTGGACATGTTTGCGGGCTCCATCTCTGAATACCCGCCAAGGATTTATCGAAAAGCTTCCTTGATGCTTCCAAAATCTTGGGATTACTTTGTGCCTTTCTGCGATTAATAAGAGATAGTAAATATTTTTTCCTACCTGTAAGATGTGGTTATTTTCAGACCAGTCATTTCCCTCAAGCATATGCTGTTTGAAGAACATGGGGAGTGGGAGCTAGTTGGGGACCAGCATGGCTCTGTCCTGCAGGCTTCTGGAAGGGCAGCCAGCCCCTGCGGGCTGAGGATTTTTCAGCTCTTTTCATTGACTCACATGGATATAAATAATGATGAGAGTCTGGCATCTTCTGGCCAGATGCCTGGCACTGCCCTGTCTTCCTTCGGATGACTGTGATAAAGGTGATGGGGGAGAAGACCAAGGTAAAGGAATAAAGAATCTATAAAGCCTTCTCAAGACAGTATCCTGCTTCTCAAGCCTCACCTCTTACAGCCTAATCCTATTATGCCAGTTGGAAATGGAGAATTACCTCTAGTTCCCCACAGGATTCTCGTTCTTGTCGCTGCTCCCTCCTCCCAGCCCAGGCAGATGGAGATCCCGGGCCAAGTAGGGAGAAGGTCATGTTCTCAAAGAGGCAAAAACTCAAGTCATGAATAATTTTCGAAGTGTTCCCCTGGTTTTGATGCAGTCGCTTGGATGTTTGCCATGTGCCGAGCACTCACACCCCACAACCATCCCCTGAGGGATACTGATTCCACCCCCTTTGGGCAGACAAGATGACGGGGCCCAGATGGTAGGGTTAATGGTAGAGTTCAGTGTGTTGTCCTGCTGCCTTCCGGCAGGTACACTTTTCATGGCCCTAGGGGTGACAAAGACTCTCCCCAGGGACACCATCTATAGGTAGAGGCACAGCCTGGTTAGTCAAGGCTCAACAGGAATTGTTGGGACTTCCTTCTTCCTTTGACTGAAACCTTCTTCTTGGCCTTCTTCCTGGCCAAGCACTTGCCCCACAAGACTGGGCTGAGACCCCAGCTGCCGGCACGGTTCACTGTGATTCCTTCTTGCTGCTCTGCCCACCCACATGGGCCCTGCAGTGGGTGCCCAGGACCTCCTCTGTTATTGTGCTTTTCACACCCCATTAGGATCTTGAATTCTCTCATCTGTCTTATTAGAGTGTGAGTCCTTTGAAGGAAGCAATGGCGTCATTTATTTCAAATGATTTTTTATTTTATTTTATTTATTTATTTGACAGAGAGAGATCACAAGTAGGCAGAGAGGCAGGCCAGGGGGCGGGCGGAAGCGGTCTCCCTGCTGAGCAGAGAATCCGATGTGGGACTTGATCCCAGGACCCCGAGATCACGACCTGAGCCAAAGGCAGAGGCTTAACCCACTGAGCCACCCAGGCGCCCCTATGTCAAATAATGTAAAAAGTGATTGTAGAATGAATGAGGGCACGAATGAATGAATGCATGCATGAGCTCAGATGAGGAAGCCAGAGTTTCATGACCTGCTCCATCTCACATAACTAGTTACACGGGAACAGATCTAAAAGTTATGTCTCCTAACTTCTGAACCAGGGCTTTTCCCACCATCCTTTCCAGAACATGCAACGTTCTCCCTCTTTAGAAATCCCCACTACGATTTTGCAAACACTGTGCGAGAAACTAGCTTAACCACTTGAAAGGGAAAAGAGCAGAGATGAAAGAACTCAGAGGGGAAAAAAAACTACACATCAGAAGAAGAAAAAAGAGAACATACAACTATGAGAGGAAAGAAGAGAGTTGCTCACCAAAGCCTCCACTTCCGTCAGCAGTGATCCCGAGATGCGGTTTGTCTCATGGAGGCCCGAAAAGGACCTGGGTTCATGATGTTCTCGTGCTTCGTTTTCCCACATCTTGACACCAAAGTCCAAGAAACATGCAGAATGAATAAAATAATCTAATTTATATCAAGAACTGTGAAAGGTCTGACTGAGATTTCACCCAGCCAGGGATGGGCATGGCAGCTGGGAGAAGACCCAACACTCCCGTGTTAGAGATGATGGGCAGCCTGTCAGTGACAGCAACAGTCAGGGGACCCGCATGGTTCGTGTTGGTTACCTGAGCCCCGGGTCCGCCTGGGCGATGAAGAAGAGCCAGACTCTACCCACAGATACAACCAACCATGCTGTAGGATTCCTGCTTCTAGAGAACCCAGATCTTTCCTAGCGGGTAGTAGGGTGCCGACCCTTTCTCCCAGAGGAAGACGTTACCTTCCTATCAGAAAGTTAGTGCACCTGTCCTTGGTCTTGAAGAGAGACCTTGTCTCAATCTTCCAAGGCTGTTCATCATATGAAAACCCTGAAACAAATTGTCCTCAACAAAGGCAGATGTGCAGAGACATAGGAAACCAGTGACGAGTGCCTCCCAGCAAGCACCTGACCTAGGCATTCGCTCACCAACCAAACATTTGCCAGCAGTCATATGCCAGGCACTGTACTGCTCACTGGTTATACATCGGGAAGCAAACCTGACATGGTTCCTGACCTTGGGGAGCTTACACTGTGGTGGGTGGGGAGATAAGTATTCATCCAAGATCCCGTAAGTACACACAAAATGACTATAGTGACAAAGAACATCAGAGGAGGCTTGGGGGCACCTAGCAGCATAGCATGGCGTCCTCTGAACATGTGTCACCGAGAGTCTGAGCTTGGGATGGGGGTTGAAGGCTGAGCTGGAACCAATGAAGCAAGAAAAAGAGAGTCTCAGGCAGAAGGTGTAGAATGAGCACACGCCCAGCAGCAGAGAGCAGGTCCCCTCTGAGTAGGGAAATCACACGGCTTCCCCACCATAGACCCGTTGACCCAGACTCCCTGTTCATAGCATCTACTGCCCCTCTCTGGGGTGCCCTGTGAGGAACTGAGGGGGTAGAGCTCAGGGAGGGGGAGCATGAGTCAGACCAGGCTAGAAAGGTAAATAGTACCAGATCATGAAGAGTATCACGGTCTCTGTTAATAACCAAGGTCATTATCCTCAGAGCATCAAGAAGCTGCTTAAGAGCTTTAAACAAGAGGGTCGCATGATCAGGTTTTCGCATTGAGGAGGGCACTTTGGCCCAGTTGTGGAGTCTAGAGGAAGTGCATAGTGCATAGCGAACAGGGAGGGTCGGAGTCAATTGCTAGGGTTGGGATGAGGCTAGTAGCAGTGGAGAAGAAGAGAGTGGTTAGATTTCGGAGACATTTGGGGTACCACTGCCAGGGTGTGAAGTGAGAGGAGAGAGGGCACCTAGGAGGACTCCAGGATTTCCACCTGGCATGGCTGGTGGAAACACTGGACAGTGTGAGCGGAGAGGCAGCGAGGCCATTGGATAAGCAGACATGGATCCCAGGTGGGAGACCTGGGCTGGAAGTTACAAATCCAGAACCTGACACCATGTAGACAGTAACTGAAATTGTGAGCATGAATGAGAGGCCCCAGAGTGGCACGAGGAGAAAGCCCAAGACGGAGCCCTAAGAAAGTCATCATTAATAGACAAGGAGCATAGAAGGAGTTCCAAAGGCAACTGGGAATGTGCCATCAGAGGTATGAAGAAAACTCACAGGCTGTGGTTTCCAGAAAGCCAAGAGAAGAGGAGAAGAAGGAAGATGGAAACCATCACCAGTGTCAAATCTGCTGAGAAACAAGGTAAGAGGACTGAGAAAAGCTGTTGGGTGGGAAAGCGCTGGACTCACTGGTGATCTTGGGAAGAGGTGTTCTGTGTAGAAGGAGAGCTGATGCATGAGTGGGAGGGAAAGAAATGAAGGCCATGAATACGGGACATCTGTGACAACCCAGACCATGAAAGAAAGGGACAGAAAGGCCAATGGAAAGTTGGGGAGCAGAGGCTTAGCATTTTGAGAGTAGGAAAGGTTTGAGCAGATGGAAATACTTCCAATAAGAGACAGTCACTTGAGAAGGAAAGAGGTTAAATTAAAGTGGGGAGCTGTGGTCCACATTTAACCTGAGGTGCACAGAGGGGAACAGGTGGCATTCGACACACAGGAGGGAGGACTGACTTGGAGAAGATGAAGGACAGGTCCTGTGTGGCGATGGGGAAGAGGAGAAATCCCTGGGTCTGGGTTTAGGGAGTTCTCTAAATCTGGAGGAGGAAGGTTGAGTGAGAACCCTTGGGGATGGGGGAGTAGGTGCAAGGCTGTTTGCCAAGAATGAGGTGGGGGCAGGGGAGCCAGAGCTTGTGAGGATGGTGGAGGTCTGGCATGGCCACTGCAGGGAGAGAGGGGCAAGGGAAACAAGGAGGGTCAGACAGAGTATGTGTGTGCCTGTACACACACACATGAGCGTGCAGTCACATGCAGGACATGACCCAGTCTCCACATGCCATAAATTGTCTCTCGAATCCAGCCAGCCAGACCCCCTTCCTCCTGTCCACTCGCCAGCCCGGTGTCTGTTCCCAAACTATCCCTCACCAGGATCATCCCCACAATACGGGGTGGCCTGAGGAACCCAGCAAAAACGTCTACTCCCCAGAGGGCTGGGGAAGCCGGCCAGGGGGAGAGAAACTGCGAACGCTCAACACTTCACATCTGCCCTTCATCCCTGCCCCATCTCCAGAAATGAATTCAAAGCAACCCAAAGGACCGAAAAGAGGCGGCCATCAGTGTTCTGACCCACGCCATTTCCATTATCGATTATCTGGGGAGTGGCAGATCCCGAAGGTTTCAGAGAGCAGGAGCCCGGGTCATGCATGGTTCAGCTCAGCCCTTCCTTCTCCTACCATCTCAGCCACGGCCTGTCTATATTCTATGAGAAAGTGAAATATGGGAGAATTAACCCAGGCGCCGTGGACCCAGAGGCAGGCAGCGCGCGTGCTCCATGCAAGTGAATTTATCTTCCCTTCTCTGAGCCTAAAAAAATGCTCCGTCCCAGTCAGGTGCTTTTCATTCTGAAAACGAAAGCCTCCTCTCTTTTTAACAGGGGCAGAAACGGTGTCCCTTACTTCCTCTTCAAATCTTCAAGGATTTAAAGAGGAAAGCTCACAAAGAAGGGACTTAAATCCAGAATTCTGCAGCTGGACTACAGAGTGCTGTCAGGAGCGGGAGGAAATTGTTCTCCTGACCTGGAAACAACCCTCACTCGGAATGAGTTTCCTGCTTCCTGATGCTCCAAGGACACCAGGGCTCAGAGCCTGGGGCTTCCAAGGGTTAGGGGGCTGGTGGGTAGAGAGTTAGGTGTTCTGCAGGGTGCAGAAGATGCTGGTGGTGTCAGCTCTGGGCTGTCCCTGGGGAGGGAGAGGGCAGAGAAATCTGCAGGGAAAGTGGGGTGTGGGGGGGTGGGGTTTGCAGAACCTGCCCTGGGGTGTCTTCAGTTCTGGGTCACTGAAGGCACAGGGCTCAGAGAAAAGCATCCATAAACCACCTAATCTGCCTAAAGAAAACTGACAGCTGGGCTTGAAAGGAACCCATTTATGGAATAATCCGAGAGTGCTGCAGCTTCTGCTGGGCAGATTCAAGAAAAAGCAGAGAGCCTCTGGGGCCAGGGGAGGGGGAGGGCTTCATTTTGCAGTGGGAGCTTTCTCCAGAAGCTTTCTCCATCAACCTGGAAGGGCATTTTCTCTTTTATCCATCATGCATCTCAGAAAAAAATTAACTAGACCTCAAAGCCATTTGCCAGCGCTGAAATGAAAGAGGCAAGAGGAAGCTTGGAGGGACAGTGAGGTGCGGCAGGAAACCAGGACAGAGCACCTTGCCCTTAACCGTGCACCAAGCCACAGTTCTGGCAAGTCCTGGAGAATTAGGGCTCGTTCTTCTGGACTTATGTAAAAGCACTAAGTCAGGGTGAGCACGTGCAATTGTCACTTCTGTCCATAAGAAATTATTGCAAACAGTATTCCCCTACCTCATAACTCAGGAAAAAAAAAAAAAGGAAGAAGAAGAAGGGCTACTAAAACTCTTAATTGGGGAGCTATGTCCTTTTTTGCTTATTTTAAAAATAAAAACAAAGCCTTCTGCTATGTGAAGAATGCAGTTTGGGGTCATAGTTGCAGATGTGCCTTAAAGCCTTCATCCGGGCGGGTTCCCCTGAGACCCTGCAAGAAGTCCCCATCCTCTTTTTCTATACAGGTACGGGTCCCTACAGTCCTTCGGTTTGTTTTCATTTCCCCTGGCAAAATCTTCCCCAAGGGTGAATGTCACAGGATAACCAAATGCTCAAACATTTGCCCGGAACACAGAAGTTAAGCCGAGTTAATAAATGACAGACAGATACAATAGCTAACATTATGTGGGTGTGGACTGTTTGCCCCAGCAGTAGGCTCAGCAAATTTCAGAATCAGGATTTGAACCCAGGCAAACTGGCTCAAGTCTGTGCTCTTAACCCCTCACCCTCTACCTCAAACACTCCTCCCTGGATTAGTCCTCCTTAGCCCTTAGCTGTTTCCAGGGGGTGCTTTTTGCTCCCCAGAGCTGGGCTGGGAGCCCTTTCTACCTGCTCCCCGGGAGCCCCATACTGAAGTCTTCATCCTAGTTCATGCGAGACTCAGGACTGAAATCCTTTGGACTTGCCTCTTCCTACAGATGGTAAGGTCTCTGAGGACAGGGTTGAGATTATAACCAACTCTGCAAGGCACATGATGTGTGTGTCTACCCCCATGGGTTAATGAAAGGATGAAAAAGACCAGGTTTTTGTTAACTAAGAGAGTTGCTAATCCAGTGGGGAACAGATCGCTGTACCATGACTGTGAATGGTTCCTCATAGACAGGCCACAGTCAATTCAGGTTCCAAACCCACATGGGGAAGGACCGGTGATCTCTGCCCCCTGGAAACTGGGGAAGAACTGGACGGTGTTTAATTAGAGATGAGTAATATTTTAACCAGCCAAGAAGGGAGAAGAAACAACATGAATGAAGAAATCTCAGGGCAGGTTAGAGAACAGTGAAGAATAGTCCAGGTCAATCCCACACATACCTAACTGGGGTCCTGCAAGAGACCAGCATCACCTAGGTATAGTGCCTAAAACAAACCAGTAGGACAAACTCTCTTCACTCCAGAACTTCACAGAGAAGGAGGAGGAAGACACATAAGCAGATCATGATAAGAACTGATAACCAGAACTTCCCAACCAGGATTCTGGACCTTAAATGGGGTACAAGTATGCCAAGTGCTGATATTCCCAGCTGGGTGGCTGGACAGGGCAGGGGGACATGGCTAGCCAAGGCCTGTGGCTCAGAAGTCCTCATCCAACACCCAGGGGACGCACAGATGCTTCTCTTCTCTACCCGTGCCATGAGGTCGAAGGGTCAGGAAGCTCTGGGAGTGGAGAATCAAGGCAGACTTTCTAGAGGAGGTGATTTCTGAGTTGGGCACTAGCAGTAGAGTAAGAACTCACCAAGAGGCAGGTGGAAGAGACTTTAAACAATGGAACAGTGGAGAGTGGTGACGGTAGAGATGCCAAATTCACTGAGCGGTTACCAAGGGCCAGGCAGACCTGAGACCCTTCTAAGCTATCTTGTTTAATTCTCTCAACATTCTGAGGCAAAGGGGGGTGTGGTTTGAGGTCATTTTACAGATGAGCAAACCAAGGCACAGACAGTTTATGTAACCTTTGCAAAGCCACACAACCAGCCGACAGTGGAGTTGGAATTCCCAGCCAGCTCACCTGTCCCATAGTTCTGAGCCATGGCACCAGACTGTCTTCTATTCAAGAATCCACTGGGGCATGAAACCAAAGATGGAGGGAAAGTCACAGGGAAGGGAAGGCAGCACAAGCTGCATGGTTTTCCCAGGCCGTGGAGTGTTAAGCAGTCAGAAGTAAGAATCAGGCTGGAAGGAGGACACAGCATTCAGCCCAGGCTAAGAGGGCCACTTGGGTGGTGGCCTGGGATCCATGCAAGGCAGCTAGTCCTGGAGTTCAGGATCTAGGCAGGTAGCTCAGACCAAACACCAGTGGAGGTGGGTAAGGGCCAGGCTGCCGAGGTCACAAGCTCCATTTCAGGGAGCTGAGCAGGACTTCACAGGGAGCCATGGAAGACATGAGCAGGGGCTGATACACTGTGTCGTGATGTCAGGAAGACAGCTCTCAAACAGCATCAAGAGTCAAGGTGAGAGATAAGACTTTGGTGGAAACATGCATCCCAAGGACATTGCTGTAATCTGGGGAGATGGGAGGCCACAGGGGCTCACAGGTTTGATGTGGCCCATGGTCTAGATTACATGTGATCTGTTGCCATGATGACTTTGTGGTCTGTATGTTCTTTTACCGAAGATTTGCCCTATGGCAGGGAGGGAGCCCCAGACACTGTCCCTGCTTTCCCCCTTAACGTACCCCTGCTAAGCCACCCTTTCTCCTGTGTCCCCTTCGTGGTGGGTCCTCCTTGATTTCCCCCAGCATCTTCATATGCCTCCCCACTGCCTGTGCACAGCGGCTAGCGGCCATCTTCAGCCGCTTGGGTTTCACCGTCTACCCCCAGGAGCTTCTCCGGTGTTTGTGCAAATATAGGTGGGAGTGATCTCCATGAGAAGAATTGGGGGGAAGCCAGTTTCCTCCATTAAGTGACCAAGCATGTGCTTCTCAGAGCCTTCTCATGACCCTTCTTAGTCTGCACCCCACTGCCCTTGCACGTTCCCTCACTGGGCATACTGCCGTGCGGTGTTACTTCTGCTTCTTAAATCAGTGCCCTCTCCTCTGGGAGATGGTAGAACGGGGTGGGGGATCAGGGGCTTTCAAGTGCTTCTGTTTATTCTGAACCATCCTTATTACCCAGGAAGTGCTCACAGTGGACAGTTAATGACCGCACATTGTATGTAGACAGGGATGAGGGAGATTTCTCCTTGTCAAACAAGACTTCTGTAGGGGGAAGAAACTGATTTTTAAAACTCCATGCTATAAATGTGTTATCAGCCCAGAGGGCTTATTTCTGAACCACAGATGTTCATGATTAAGCTGGGGCTTTGGGGCACTCTGGTATGATCAACCACCAAAGGTTCCTTTCCCCTAAAGACTTCCATCTTCAGGAGAATAAAGGCGTAGGGCAGGAAGGGTGGGCGGGGAGGCCAGTGGGATGTTCATCTCTGATACCAGCCCCAGCTCGGCTGAGGGCCCAACTTCTGAGACTTTTATTTTTGAGACAGAGGCTGTGGGCAGAGGCTGTCTCCATGGCGACCTGCAGCTCAGTCTCCACTAGACCCAGAAGAAGCTGAGACAGAGGAGACAGATAACTCCCTCAATTCTCTCTGGAACAAATGTGGCCACTTTGGAGCAAGAGGACCCTGCCTTCAGCAAGGAAACCATGCTCCAGGCTGGGCCTGAGACTCCATGATCAAGTGGGGTTGTAGACAATGGACATCCATGTTGGCCCCAAGACAGATCTTGACCCTCTTGTGAGCTCACAGGGGATTTCTCTAACCTCAGAAACAGCTAAGCATGTCTGAGGGGTGATGACATATGGGGGACTTTTGTTTAGAGAAGTCAGCTCATGTAACCCTGGGAACAAAATTCCTATAGAAACAAATCTGACTAAACTAAGGAATTTGAAGCCTTCTCCAACAGAACCAGTCCAGGCCTCCCGAACGGCCAAGGATCCAGCAGTCATCAAGCCGCCCATGATGGACATACCAGTGACAGAAGGGAAGAAACAACCACCACGGTCATATAGTCTCAAAGCCCATGACTTGAATGTGCTCGCACCCCTTGGCTTCTAGAGCTGTGTGTAACCCAGAGACCCTGCATGGAGGGTATCTTGAACCCAACTCCCACTTTGTCTTGGCCCTAACGTGGGAAGGGCTGTTACTTGTTTATTTTTTTAGACCTCTTAAACCAAGGCTAGAGCTGGAGATCTAATTGGTTTTGGAGAGATGTTAGTGCAAAGCTTGTCCTTATGTGGAAGAAGCCATTTTGTGCTTGTTCATTAACAGTGAACCTAAGGAACCCCAGCAGTGAAGTAGGGGGGCCTCACCACCCATTTTTGTATTGTTTACCATAGATAAGAACTTTGCCCATTGCTTACTGGGTAGCTAATGTTTGTGTCATTTCAGAACTGGGGCTTCTCGGTTTCTAGACCACGATCGGTGGGAGCGTGGACAAA